ATTTTGTATTCTCGTGCTCCGTTTCCTACGGCCTTTCCTGGGCACCCACAGGATTGCCCCTCGGTATTTTTATGACTCTCATCTGCTCCTGGCTGGGACCTGGAGCAAAGCCCTGGTTGTGCAGGAGAGCTTTGGTCCCACAGCAGCGCAATGGCAGTCGGCTGCTCTCTGTGCCTGTAGGGACTTGAGCGAAGGTAGCAGGTAAAAGGAGGCAAGCAGAGACTTCTTCTATGTCGTATGTTTAAAATTGCAAAAAAAAAAAGAGAGCAAAGCCCAGCAACCCCTCCGCAGGTGGTGAGCGATGTGCTCTCTGCCCTCAGGTCTGAGAAGACAAGCTGCTGTCACCATCAGCCAGGAGCTGAGCAAGCTCGCCTGCCGTGGTGCGGGACCCAGCACGTGGATTAACCAGGTTCGCAGAAGAAGCTCCCTGCTCAGTAAGTGACCGGCGGGGAGCGGGGGGCTGGCCCTTTCTGCCAGGGGGGCGACCGTCACGGGGCAGGGCTCTGGGGAGCGGCTGGAGGGAAACCTGCTTGTGGGTTGCCCGTGCTTCTGCTAAGCACCGGGTGAAGGCAGGCGAGCGGTGGGAATCGCGTTTGCTTCCCCGGCCCCTGGGCACGGTGAAGTGTATTTGATGTAGATGAAGCTTATCTGGTGCTGTGACGTGATAGGCAACTGTGCCATGGTCTTAGACTCACCCCTGCTTTTGTCCGGTCCTGCGCAGGCTCGAGGCTGGAGGAGAAGCCCTTCAGCGAGATGGAAATGTCTTACATCAAGCAAGGCGAGGAAGCCCTCCAGAAATCACTCAGCATCCTCGGGGACCAGGACGGCTGGAAGACGGAGACGGTGGTGGTAGGGGCTCTGCTTTGCAAGCACAACGACCTGGTCCTCCTGTAAACATTTGTGATGTTAATTCTGCCTTCCCCTCTGCCAGGATAACGGAGACAAAGTCCTGAGCAAGGTGCTCCCGGACGTGGGCAAGGTGTTCCGGCTCGAGGTGGTGGTGGACCAGCCCCTGGACGCAGTGTACAGCGAGCTGGTGGACAACATGGAGCAGATGGGGGACTGGAATCCCAACGTCAAAGAAGTCAAGGTAGGGACCGCGGGTCAGACGTGTCTCAGCCAGGGGTGGGGGGGTCTCCCACACCTTGGCTGGTGTCAGAAGGGCCAAAGCAGCGCTGGGCCCGTCGCAGCAGGAGCACGGGGATTTCTTCACCCGTTCTTTGGGAAATGAGAAGCCAGACTTTACCTCGCCCGCTTCCTACTGCAGGCGTGGAGCTTGTCCTGCAGTAACGGCGGCGTTCCGCACCAGCCGTACCGGCGTGCCCGCGGCGGAGGGAGGGCGTTGCTCAGTCTGTAGGCAATGTGCTTGCATGGTAGGGGCCCAGCTCTGCTGTTAAATCTGTGCCCTTACTGAAGGAAAAATAGCTCCATACCCCAGCGTGCAGGGAAGAGCACTTTGCTGTTCCGCAGCTTGTCTGGAATAAGGGAAACACCTTCCCTTTTCAGGTATTGAAAAACTAATGGTCCGCATTCTGGGATGAAGCACGTTTGCAATTGTTCTCACTGTAAGCCCTGAGTTTTTGTACGAGCGCCTATTTGCACGCGCAGCGATCCAAGCTAGCTTTTAGCTGTGTTTGGTAAATGCCTCCAGGTCACATTTTAATTCTCAACTGCCCAGATTCTCCAGAAGATCGGGAAGGACACGGTGATCACCCACGAGAAGGCGGCCGCTACCCCCGGTAACATTGTCGGACCACGGGACTTCGTGAGCGTCCGGTGCGCTAAGAGACGTGGCTCCACCTGCGTGCTGGCCGGCATGTCCACCAAGTACGGAGCTATGCCAGAGCAGGACGGGTTTATACGGTAATCAGCTTCTGCAGTCCTTTACATGATGTTTAGTCAGACGCACACGCTAGCTTAGCCTGGGCTCAGCGTAGTTAGGTTCGGCTCAGTAGCAGGAACTGCATAGTGCATCAGCACCGCTGGAATTCAGAGGCTAAGTCAGATGTTGCTTTCTAACGTGCGCGCTCTTGTGCTCCTACAGAGCCGAGAACGGCCCCACCTGTATGATCCTGCACCCGCTGCCCGGCCGTCCTTCCCAAACCAAGCTGGTCTGGCTTCTCAGCATTGACCTGAAGGTAAGTGGTGCGGCAGACATTTCGGAGCCAAAGCAGGATTTGCATTCGAGGCAAGCTCCGCTCACGGGCTGCGTCTGCTCCCCTCCAGGGCTGGCTGCCGAGGACCATCATCAACCAGGTTCTGTCCCAGACGCAGGTCGACTTCGCCAACCACCTTCGGGAGCGCCTGGCCCGGACGGTGGCCGTGAGCTGCTGACCGTGGCCTCGCGTTGTAATGCCTTGGTCGGGGGGGGGGAAGTAGGGAGTCTTGTAATGGGGTAAGTTAGGCACCATTTAATTACAGCCTGTGCTAATTAGCCAAGGCCTTTAATAGTAAACACCACTAATTAAGACATTGTTTTGATAATTAAATAACTAAAGCTTTATTTTTTGAAACTAGAGGCAGAGGCCTGACCAAATATTTGAGGTGGTCCTGCACTTGCTGCACTGAGCATGTGCTGGCCCCTGTGACCTCCCTCACTTGGTTTCAAAAAATCAATAAAGCTTTAATTAGGGGTGTCTACTCTTAAAGGCCTTGGCTAATTTGCCCCTAGGGAGGTTGCAGGGGCCTGATGGGGAAGGCAGGAGGACCAGCACATTTTACTCCTCTTCTTCCCCCAAAACAAATGCAGCGCTTACCTAAAAATTTTACTCCCTTCTTCCTGCAGTGAAGCAGCTCTTAATTTATTTTTCCTGTACAGACACACACAGAGTGTCAGATTATTTATTCATTCAAAGCTCTGCAGTGATGATCACTGGCAGGAAGCCCGGTATAACTTGTCAATGCAGTGAGCAGGAGGAGAGCTCTGAGGCATAGCTACTTTAAGTCACAAGACAAAAAAAGAAAAGAGTTAAAGCCTTTATTTTTAAACTGGTTTCCAGTTTGTGGAGGGGGGAGAAAAAAAAAAACCAAAACCAAACAGTTTGGACAGCAGCCCAAATTTCAGTCTCACATGCAGTAGTCTTTGTTACAACACAACCCTGCTGTTTACAATTGGCTGCACGGGGCTGAGCAGAAGTGTCACTGTTGCTTCTGCAAGTGTACGCACAGCAGGTAGGTCCAACTACAGCCTGCTCCCCCTGAACGAAGGACTGTTACGACCCAGGTACAGCACACGAGGAGTTACCTCAACAGGATAGGTGCTTCTTCAGCTAGCTACACTGTAAGAGTTACTGAAGACTCCCAGGAGAGGCCCACAAATAGCACAATACATACCAGGACTGCAGTCACTTAAGACTCCAGCACAGTGGCGGCGTGTGAATCTCCAGCAGATAACGAATATACATAACGCCTGCCCGCGAGAGCCGCGTGGGCTTCAGCCCGTTTGCTCCTTGGCTGATGGCTCCGAGTGATGCAAGTTCCTCTATAATAAAACCCACTTGACTGGATATACCCACTGTGTCATTTTTGTTAACGCTGCGCCGCCTGCTTTGGTTATGGCTCCCAGGGTGGACTCCGTCTTCCGTCAACTTCTGTCTCTACGTGATACAGCACATCAGCCAGCGTGTGCTCTACAACAGCGCCCCAGCCCATGTCGCTCATCTGCAAGGGGAAGGACAGGCAGTTAGCTCGAGTCGTGCAGGACTCAAGGCCAAGGAGGGCCTAGCCCTGGTGTACAGCAGCGTTCCAGGACTCTTCCCCTCCTGAACGGGGCGGGGGGGGAACCAAGTGTTTCCCTAAAGAAGAATTCAGCCCTCCTACTGATAAAAAAAGCTAACACAGGCAAGAACAGGGAGTTTATAATCAGTCAAGAGGAACAAGGCTATTTAGCTAAATTTTAACTAAGTCACTTGTTAGGCTATCTGTCCTGGCCTTAAATATTTTTAAATACAATCCTTTCAGCTACACTATCCCCGTACGGAGGCCAAAGAGGACAGATACAGGCTTGGTATAAATCGATCCCACCACCACAATAAAATCTCAACCACCCTTTGTTTAAATGCTGCGAGGCTCTCACAAAGCAGGGTGTCAACGGCTTCAGTTATTACTTACCGGACGGTAAGTGATATCTCTAGGTGGATACTTGAAATAGGGCCCAAAGTTTATGGAAACCTGTGGAAAACACATTTATCACTAGATCCAAAAAACTGGGCAAATTGCTTTAGGCTTCATCTTCATCCCCTCCTGCTCCTGAGCCCACCTGCACCCTGTGCAACGCCCCATGAACAAACATCCTTGGCACGAGAGGAGCGCGTTTGTGCAGCAGGTTGGTAAGGTTACACCACACAAGCAAACAGCAGCGTCGTTCCACGGTCGCGTCACTAAAATAATGCCAGCCTTCCCTCTTCACTTGCTCAACACGCTCCCAGAGTGCCCACGCTCTATGCGGTACTAAAACTACGCTGAACTTAGGAATTGTCTTTCAAAGCTGTGTCACTTACTGTGCAGCCTTTGTACAAAGAAATAGCAGGAAAATAAACTCCTTCAAAGATGTCTTTAAACGCAACTCCTTGGCTGGCACCATTCTTGAAGAATATTATCTAAAAAGAAAAATGAAGAGGTTTGGTTTGTGGGGATTTTTTGGGGGGGTTGGTTTTGTTTTTTTTTTCTTTGTTTTTTTGTGGTTTTTTTTTTTTCCTTCCCATTGATGCTTTCATGACCTTACCTGGCAACTCCAAGCCCTAAGAGGCAGCTTAAGCTATGCTCCCTTCATCTGATGCCAATTAGTGACAGCAATAATTACAAGTAAAGGGCACAGCTGCTTTGCTAAGTGGACATTTATTGTTGCTTTAATAAAGCATTCTCCTTTTTGGTGAAGCACTAATGATCAGCCTCCCTTTGTGCTCATTAAATGTAAGCGATTAAGAAATACAATAAGCCAGTCTCAGCAGGCTCTTCCCCAAGTTCTGCATCCCCCACCTACCAACACTTAACTCACCTGGCTTCCGGGTGCTTGCTTTAGGCTCTTCTCTGCTTTGTCCACAAAGTCCTTCTCTTCAAAGTACAAGTAGCTTTTGAATTTGATCAAAGCCTGGAATATTAGCAAACAACCACTTCAGAAGTAAGCCAGAAAAACTGTTAACCTTCAGTGACAGATTAAAGAAGGGCAGACCTACAGGAGCCCTGCTCTGGGACAGGCGTGCCTGGTGTGTCAGAGTACCCGTGAAGAGCGATTCACACATCTCAAATGTTTGAGAACCAGGAGGGGAAGAGAAGATGAAAGGAGATGTGGGCACCCTCCTTCAGCTGTCCATGCAGAGTCTTCCCTTGCAAAACCTCTGGGTGGTTCTGGGCATTTTGTTTTCTTGAGATCAATGCTTTGGACCTGCCCGCTGCGAACCCCAGAGGTCAGGTGGAAAGGACACACTCAAAGGGGGTAAAAGTGAGGCTAGAGCAACCTGGTTTCCACTTGTCCTCCTAGCCAACGCTTAATCCGATAGTGAACTCCACACCTCACCTTATCTTTGTAAGTGTCAGGCAGTGATTTGGCTGTCTCAGTATCTTCTGGAAGACTGATGTAAAATCCCAGTATATCACCCTGTCCATAGCCAGATGAATAGTGTTTCCCTATCGACTGGTGAAACTTTGTTCCCTTTTTGCTGCGCCAGGAGTAACTGAACTTGTCATATCCCAGAGGCGCCTGGAGGTTCCCTGCGGAAACCAACGTTTCTTCGTGAACATACACAGCGTAGCAGGAGCACCTCTGCGAGTCCCACTTCAAGTTTTGGAACAGTAATTACATTTGTTAACAAAGAGGGCTGCCATTAGTACAAATGCATTGACTACAGGGTTAAGCAAGGCCAAGCATGCAACAGCATGAAGGATCCACCCGTACTGCAGTTCTGCACAGTTTAGATCACCTGCAGAAAGAGTCTCCCCCTTAAGAAAAGCAGTGGAGAAGCGGGCAAGCTGAACGTGACTTACCCTCCTTCAGCCTAAATTACTGGGGAAAGAAATACAGGAACCAGTTGGAATCCACTGCTAAGAAATACTTGGTAAATTATTTACCTAACGGCTGTGACCAGCCTAGTCTGGCAGCTGTGTCTGGAGGCATCTCATCCATGGATATTTCAAAGTACCACGCTCCTTTCCGCACTCCATGCGAGGCTCGTACCATTGAATAGCCCTTCTCGCCGATAACAGTCAGCCTGTCATCGGAAATCTTTAACTGAGGCGCTGCAGTAGACGAGAGAAGATGACACGAGCATTTAATTTGTGATTTCTAATGTGCAGCGACGTCAAAAGGCAAGTGACCATATAGCAGTGGATTTAACATTTGCACCTCTAAAGCAATTAAGTCTGAAACTTCATTAACGAGTAACGTGAGGTTACAGAAGCTGGCCCCTCATAAGAAGAGCTGGCTATACAACCCGCATACGATGAGCAAGCTTTGTACCTCGGTCATGCAGTGCTAGGAGGACGCGTTCATACAGGCAGGCTCTGTAGAGGTCTCCAGGAATAGGTTTTCCTGCCCAACAGTCTAGCTCCAGCTTCTCTGGGTCGGGTGCGTGGGGGTCCGGCTCAGCCAAGATGTAACGATATCCATCTTTATTAAAGGGATGTTCCAAAGGATAACCGTGGGGTGGTAAGCGCTGAGCGGAAAACAACGGGTCACTGCGAAACACAAGAACTGCAGGTTGGCATCTCACAGTGGCTGCGGTTCAGTCACAAGTCAACTGGGGACAGCCTCTTAGAGCTGTACCCATGGCGCTCACAGCCTGCACGTCGCGTTGCTTCCGAGAGCCTGTGTGAAACGAGCACGTACTCATCTATGAAGTGAGCCTGTACTCATCTATTTCAACTGATTTCTAGCATGTGACCTATCAATAACATCACGGGGTTACGGCACGATTCCCCATAAATCTACCAAGGGCAGGGACAGGCGGGAGGCAGCTTAAGGCATCAAAAGTAACGCTGTCCCTCTGGCTAGCATGCAGCACCTTGCTAGAGATGCTCACCTCTGTGCCACCACGCCCACCTTTCCTCTTACCTTCTGGTTTTCTTGGCTGTTCCCGTGGTCCCTCCGTCCTGCTGCTTGCGCTTCGCTCCTCGTCCCTTCCCACTGCCTCCCGCAGCAATTCCCCCTAACACAGAAACCACGGCGTATTAAGCAGCGGATGACCAGAGAGCCCCCCCCGTGAGCACAGAATCTCCACAAACAGGAAGGGGGCAGAGGCAGCCGAAATGAAATCAGTTTGTGAGCTCAGGTACCTCCTTCCACAGTTATATGTGACACGGATTTACTGAAAACGAGCACAGCAAAATCCAGAACTTTTGTGTAGCTTCTAGCCAACTTCTGAAATGTCCAAGTTCAGAGGGGAAGCCAAGTGAGATAGATTTACCAACAAAGTGAGCTCAAGCTTTTGAGGGGAGAATGAAGAGTATTTTCTGTCATCAAAAGCTCTACAGGCAGGAGCATTAGGATCCACTGCAAAAGCAGCATTTGCTTTCGTGGAGATTCCAGTCACAGTTCAAATTTATTTCTGCAAAAGCAGCAGAAAACGCAACCTGCAGCGCACACCACCTGATGGTAAGCAAATTCATCACCCCAGTGACACACTGTGCTGGAGAAACTCTCCGACACCAAGAAGCAATAAGCACTCAACATTAAATTTCCATCTATAAAATAAAACACACCTAAGTTGAGAAAAAACGAAAAGCAATAGAGGTGTTTCTCTCCAGTATTACCACAGTCAGTACCACGGTCGAGCGTTTCGTATCAGAGTACCCAATTTTTACTCACAAATAAGACTGTAGTATGGGAAAAGCCACACGTCAAAGGTAAAATGTGATACTGATCCTAGTCTGGTTAACACATTCACTTGCCTATGCGTTTTATCATCACACCATTTTGAAAAAGAGTCCACTGTTGATTTGCACAGAAAACTATCAAATTTTTATGTACTGTAGATAAACACCTTCACGAACCGCATACCGTGTCAGAACTAAAAATACAGTCAGCTTTTAAATCAGCATTCCCCTTACGGCGTAAGGGACTCACACCACTGAAGGAATACCATATTCTGCACCAACATGGCGTGATCTCAACTGCACTTGCTAGTTTTAGAGCAGATAAACACTTCGGCTCTCCAGTTTGTCGTCACTTATTTGCCTGAACAATCACAGTATCATACCAGCTCACCGATTCAGACCACTTGTTTAGGCATTAAGATTTAAAACTGCAACGATATCAGATCAAATCATACAAAGTAAGAATAACCATAAGTGAAAATAAAACTTCAAACCAGTCAAGTGGGGCAGAATATGATAATTAAAAGCTTCTAACTGCTAAAGATTAAAAAGTGAAATTGTTGGTTTGTATTAAAGTATTACTGCAATCACATCAGGGCACGCTTTTGATTTTTAATTGACTTTAGCTTCTAAGATAATTGAGCAAAAAAGCTTTGCAAACAATAATACTTAAGTTTTAGAAGCTGAAAGGTAAATATTCACCTCCCAAAGAGGCTCCACCTGTAAGAACAGAAGTGGCACCACATATTTGTCAATCTTCCAGAAATTAAATAAAAAACAACCAGTGCATGAAACAGAGACAAGGCAGCCTTAGGTATCTATAACCCTGTTTAGAAAGCCCCAAACACCTCCTGTTAGATGCTATTTGAATGTCTTTAGCATAGAACGGCTTAGCCTTGTGCATGAAGCAATCTCCTCGGCAGTTAGTACTACTACAGTAAGGTTACCCTAAGTCACCTCAGCGAGCTCAGCAAAGTTGTTAGCACAGCTGCCATTCCGCAAAAAGGAACAGTAAAATGCAAGCAGAGATTATAAGGAATAATAGAAACTTTCCCCACCTACTTTCAAAACTCAGAGTGAGGGAAACAGGAAATCTGAATAATACAAGTAGGTAAATTAAGATCATTGTGGAAGAAAACGGACAAGCCTTGCTTTCTTGCAAGCATCTTGATTTAGCTGGCTGCCACGAAGCCAGAAGTTGAACCTTCGCAAGAAGGCAAAATTAATCTCTGCCTACAGAAAGGCATGGTAAGACTGGCTGTACATGTTTTGAACATAACAAGCATAACCTCCGTTCACACAGCAGGTTTAACCACAGCATCTCCACTGACACAACCGCACAGACGCCCAGCTAGAGGGCTGGGAGAATGCAGCTTAGTCCCAGATATTCAAAAAACACCTGATTAAAGAACTTGCCATTTAAGCTTCCACTGGTGGATACAGCATTGTTCTGTTTCTGGTTATCATATGCAGGACCAATATTGGCAAGATCCTGCAAGAGAGGAAAAACCTGATGAATAGACTCGGTCAAACTTACCACGCAAAGCCCGAACTCGGCACTCGCAGGCGCCAGAGCACTCCAGCACGTCGCGTGGCACAACACAGGCTCACAGCGTGACTTGGCCAAGTTTTGCCCATTTGACCGAGCACAAGCCACCAGCCAAAAGAACCCCCACCCCTTCCTCCCAGCTCCCCACGGCACACTGTCATCCCTCTCTAATTACGAACTTGGTCTAGAAGTCCAAACTTGGGGTAATCTTCTTCTGGGTCCTTACTCCCTGGGTCTGGATGTTCTTTCACCAGGAACACATCTCTTTCTTTACACTGAAATAGAGCAGGAGATTAAGTTATGCAGGGTAAGATCATACCAAGTTCATTAACAAGCGTTTAAATCATAGCATTCGCTATTCATACGTAGCATGCATACCAACTACATAAGAAACATTAGCATCTCCACCATTTAGCTCTAAGTCCAAACCTCAGCACACACAAATGTCAGACAACCATACCACGTGCAGCAAAGCCTCCACGAATTTAACTCCGAATACTCACCATAGTTTTGACGATATTATTAGGCCAAGTCATTTTCCCAGGTCTCTGTCGTGTTGTCATACACTCCCAGTATTTATCAATAAATGGGATAATGTCCTGTAAAAAGAATAAAATAAAACCAAGTCTTAACAGCTTGGGTCTGAAAGTCTCGATGCCAGTGCTTGTTTGAGCTTGCTCTTCACTGAAATCAGAGCTGACGTAAATCCGTGACAGTTTTTGTAACAGCCATACCTTATCTTTTGAGAACATAGTCTTTGGGTGCTCATCTTGGGTCCTCGACTGCCACGTTAAGTTGGCCAGGGCACTAAGGCACATCTCCTTGAGATCTTAAAAAAAGGTACCAGAGCTAGAATTACACTCCAGGGTGAAGATCAAACATACAGCCACGTACACAGCGGTTACTAACCAGGCAGCATCCATAAGTTCTGTCCTAAGTCAGCAGCCCTCACGGAACAGAAGATTTTCACCATCTTAGCACGTTAGTAGCAAAACAGCGAAGCATTTTTAGAAAAAGGCACACGTGCTTGTCACCAATATGGGAATTTTTGGTCATTTTTGAGAAGCTTCAGCAGAACCGTCCCACTGACTTTAGATAGAATGAGGCCTCTGGGATTATCTTGCACAAAATTTCAATGAAAGTGCTTTTACACTTACTCGCTTGTTTTCGTAAGAAATAGGTGTTCCCACTGTGATGGCAAACATTGCAATGGAAGCTGTAGTTGGTCATGAAAGGCAGACACGATCTGGAAAAGAGCACGCTGATCTGTAAGTTCTGCTGTACGCCTGCCTGACTACATTGGGTTAAGAAATTAATTATTCCAGGTTAACAAATTAGTTATTCTCTCTCTCCCTCTCTCACACATCTTACAGGTTCAATGATATTTTCATCAAATTGAGTTTATCCTGGGCATCAAGAAAAAGCATAAAGCTTTGAGAGAAGTGTAAGCAAGCTAAGTGCCACCTTCTTGTTTTAGAGAAGTCCTGAAATTCATTCAGCAAAATAAGAGACAACCCAGAAGCTCTGGACAAAGAGCTCCATCCGAGTCCATTTCAATTGGAAGTCTAGAGAGTACTTTTAGGGACAAAACACAACCAAAAAAGTTAAGTTTTTAATAAGTTTAAGGTCAGTCCCACAGAGGTTCGGGAAAGCAAGCTGAACTTGCTTTTCACTCACAGGAGAGTTTTACTTTTTGTTCACGCCAATTGAAAATGTCCGCTGAAGGCCCCTCTGCTTTTCAGATGACACCTACAGCCCCTAAGGCACTAAGCCCAAAGGTGACTCTGAAGGTCCCGAGGTCCAGACAAAGATTATTTAAAGTTGAAATGTATGAACATAAACATTTCCTGCTGCCTTGGGTAAAGCTTTTGTCATTTACATAACACGCTGGTTTCCAGCCTGGACAGGGTCCTGGTCCTTGGGAATTTACACTCCGAATACTTCCATTTTTGCCACCCAAAGTTTCACACCCAGGGTTAAGCAGAGCTTACGCACGTGGTGTCAATGCCGAACGTGTCTGCGGTGAACCACTTTGTACAAATTCCACACTGCAGCTCTATCTCTCCAAGCTGCCGTCCGTTCTCTTCATCCACGGAGCCTGCCTGAGCATCCAGGACTTCAGAGTTGTCCCCAGCAGCTTCCTACAACCAGAGCAGATCAGCAAACTTGGACTGGCTTAAAGATTGACCGGATCAGACAGGAAAGAAGTTTTGTGCAGTAACCTGTTAAGGCAGGAGAACTCAGAGGAAATAATTCTTTTTCCCCTGATGCACAGCCATGCTGCGAGCGAGCTGGAACTATTCTGTAGATTCGGTTAGTCAGAACTAGCCATGATAGGTGAGGATTTAACTCTTTAAAGAACTAAAACTGGGGCTAGGGGGATGGAAAGTCCTTATCTTCTGAACCACAGGAACCTCTTCAGATTTTGTTTTTTGAATGACTACCTTCTCACCTTCTACATCTTCATCACACCCCTGACTTTGTTAATCTTGGAAAACCGAGGATGCCCATTAGTTCTAACACCTCAGGCATTGCCAGACATCTATTTGTTATGTAGAAATGCTTCATCTTCTGCAAAAAATAATTCTGCGCTTGCCCTATTTCTACACCACGTACAACCCGTGGTGATCTTGCGCCCTGTCACCTGTGCAAAGCCATCGCTACCAAATAAGAGTCGTTAGGGAAAATGTGCT